CTGAGCTGAAGCATCACCTGGCTGCCTCCAAGGATGACACACCCAAACGGCTGACTGCAGGCACGAGAGCCCTGCTAAAATGAGTCCTGCTCTATATGGTCATCCCCTGCACAACAATCTTCCACTGTAGTCATGGCCAGTCCTCACAACCAATCAGCCCAAGGGTCAATCCCTCCTACTGATGTGCAAATAACCACCAAAGTTCAGCTACAAGAGGAAGACATACACAATCTACACTAGGGACAAACCTGGAGCACCCAGCTCTGATGACCAGGGAGACTGTGCCACTGGGCCCACAGGACACCTACTACACAAGGCCAGTCTACGAAGACAGAGAGACACAGCATCTCTAGTTAATACATAGATCACACACAGGAAGGCAGCCAAAATGGGGAGACAGAGAAACATGTCCCAAATGAAAGAACAGAACAAAGCTCCAGAAAAATAACTAAACAAAATGGAGACAAGCAATATACCAGATGCAGAGTTCAAAACACTGGTTATAAGGATGCTCAGTGATCTCAAGGAGAACTTCAACAGAGATAGGAAACATAAAAATGGAGATAGAAGACATAATACAGAACCAGTCAGAAATAAAGAATACAATAACTAAAATGAAGAATACATTAAAGGATATCAACAGATTAGCTGAAGCAGAGGATCTAATCAGCAGTTTAGAAGATAAGGTAGCAGGCAGAAAGCACCCAATCACAACAGCAAAAACAAAAAAAAAATTTAAAAAATGAGAATAGTTTAAGGAGAACTCTGGGACAATATCCAGCATACCAACATTCACAACATAGGGGTACCAGAAGGAGAAGAGAGCAAGGAATTGAAAACCTATTTGAAGAAATAATGAAAACTTCCCTAATCTGGTGAAGGAAACAGACATACAAGCCCAGGAAGCACAGAGTCCCAAAAAAGATGAACCCAAAGAGGCCCACACCAAGACACATTCATAATTAAAACAACAAAGGTTAAAGACAAAGAGAGACTCTTTTTTTTTTAAAGATTTTATTGGGGAATTGGGGGAGGAGAACAGACAAGTTGCTGTCCTTTTGTTCTTCAGTCTAGTTGTGGAGGATGTTGCTTCACTGGCCCATGTTGGTATTATCATTGCACTCTTCCTGGGTGAGGCAGATCGGTCGCCAGCCTCTGGACAGCCGCTCATGGTGGCTCTTGGAAGCTCACACCGGCTGCCAGCTGCTCATGCTGGCTGCCAGCCACACACGGTAGCTTATGGCAGCCCACTGCAGCAGGGGCTGCAGCCTATGCCGTCACTGGCGACTCTATCATTTAGAATTGAAGGACGGATAAACCAGACAAGAACAAGCTAAAGGAATTCATCACCACCAAACCAGTATTACAAGGAATGTTAGAGGGATATCTTTTAAGACAAAAAAAAAAGATAAAAAATATGAATAAAATGGTGATTGAAGAATCCAATGGCAACTGGATAAAAATAGTGGCACATTTATATAATGGAGTATTACTCTGCCATAAAAAGAATGAAATCTTACCATTTGCAACAACATGGATGGACCTAGGATATTAGGCTAAGTGATATAAGTCAGACTGAGACAGATAAATACCATATGATCTCACTTATTCGTGGAATCTAAAGAACAATAAACAAATAAAACAGAAATAGACTCAGATACAGAAAACAAACTGATGGTTGCTAGAGGGGATGGGTGAGATAAGTGAAGAGATTAGGAAGTACAATTTGGTAGTGATAAAATAGTCATGAGATGTGAAATACAGTCAATAATGTAGTAAAAGCTATGTATGGTGTCAGATGGGTACTAGACTTATGGGGGATCACTTCATAAATTATATAAATGCCTAACCACTGCACTGTAAACATGAAACTAATATAAAATAACATTGAATGTCAGCTATAATTAAAAAATACATATATATAGTCACAGGATGTAAAGTATAGCATAGGGAATATAGCCAATGTTATTGTAATAGCTATGTACAGTATTAGATGGGCAGACTTCTGGAGTTATCACTTTGTGAGGTGTGTAAATGTCTAATTATTATGTTGTTTTGTATACCTGAAACTAAGAAAAAAGAAAAAGAAAAACAGCAGCAAACCCAGAAAAAATCTCCCCCTTTGGATATAATATCTCCTTTTACTAAAGAAAAACTCTTATCAGTTCATAGAAGGTACCAGCAAAATCTTAAAACCTTACTCTATTAGTTTTCTCCCTTATATTTACCAAAAAAAAATATGAAATGGCAATAACTACATATCTGTCTACAATTACTTTCAACATAAATTGATTAAATGCTCCAATCAAAAGATATGGTGGCTGAATGGATAAGAAAACAAAACCCTTACATATGCTGCCTACAAGAGACTCACTTCAGATCAAAAGACATACAGACTGAAAGTAAAGGGATGGGAAAAAGATATTTCATGAAAATGGAAATGAAAAAAAAGCTGGAGTAGCAATACTTATACCAGACATAATAGACTTTAAAACAAAGGCTGTAACAACAGACAAAGAGGGACCCTATTAATCCCACTTCAGGCTATTTATCCAAAGAAACCCAAAATGCGACTTTGAGGGGATATGTGCATCCATATGTTCATTGCAGCACTGTTTACAATGGCCAAGATGTGAAGGCAGCCTGGGTGTCCATCAATGGAAGAATGGATAAAGAGGAGGTGGTACATATATACAACGAAATATTGCTCGGCCATGGAAGGGAATGGGTTCTTGCCATCTGTGGCTGCATGGATGGACCTGGAGGGTATTGTGCTGAGTGGAGTATGTCATACAGAGACAGACAGATGCAATGAGATTTCATTTATATGTTGAATCTAAAGAACAAAATAAACAAACAAAACAGAAACAAACTCATAAATACAAAGAACATTTTGATGGTTGCCAGATGGAAGGGGGGTTAAGGGGGTAGGTGAAAAAGGGAAAGGGATTAAGAACAACAAATTGGTTGTTATACAGTAGTCATGGGGATGCAAAGCATAGAGAATATAGTCAATAATATGGTAATAGCTATGCATATGTATGGTGCCAGGTGGGTGCTAGAGTAGTCAGGGGAATCACTTCTTAAATTATATAAATGTCTAACCACTATGCTGTACACCTGAAATTAATATTAAATATTGAATGTCAACTGTAATTGAAGAATTTAAAAAGGAGAAAAAGGTGAAGGGGAATAACAGGTCCGAATTTCCAGTTATAAAACAAGTAAGTCATGGGGATATAATGTACAGCATAGGGAATATAGTCAATAATATTGTGATAGCATAGTATGGTGTCAGATGGTTGCTGGACTTACCATGGTGATCACGTCTTTAGGTATATAAAGGTTGAATAACTAAGGTGTATACCTAAAACTAATATCGTATGTTAGTTATATTTTAATAAAAACTTAAAAACATCCTTATGAGGGTTCTAGACATGTGAGATTTTTTTAACTGAGTGTGAAAAAAAATTGCAACTAAACCATGGGACAAGAATATCTAAAATAAATGAGCCCAATATTTAATCAGTACGAGGACGTATCTACCAATGCTGGTTGGGCTTTGCTATGGCTGGCCCTCCTGAAAGGCTGAGATCCCCCAGAAACCTCGCTTATCCCATGAGTCTGTTGTCCTTAACCTAAGCCTGTACGCTGAGGGCCCTGTGATTTACTTAGCACCCTTTCTCAACACTGTCTGAACCCTAACAAACCCTAACAAGGACACTGCATATCCCTAAATGCTGCAAACACTCCTGGAATCTTTGTGATTTGGCCTTAACTGTCTATATGGAATTCAACACCTTAGTTGGTCAATCAGGCCCAAATCAGGAGATGGGAGTAAAGTTAAGTACCAGACACCCCAAGAATGCTGGCTTAGCGAATTCTGCTCACCACTATCCAGTTGGCAGCTTTAGGCTCCTGCGAGCACTGGAGCCAGCTATACCCTCGGGATGACTCTCAACATGTCACGGATAGTAGTCCTAATGCAAGGCCGTCTGTCCTCCCCCTGGCACCTTGCTCACCTTTAAGGCTGTTTGGGAAAAACCATCACCCTTCGCCTCTCCTGTGAACCCTTCAGTCACCGCCTGTCTAGCGACATGTGTTAACATGCACCCTGCTACGAATCATGCTGTGAATAGAATCCTTGCTTCCCATTATAGCCATGGATAGAAAAGAGGTAAAGCCAAACTTATCCTATTACCTACTGTGACAAAAATCTTTTTCTTCCATTCACTGTTTCCTCATGAAAAGAAATAGAGTGAAGTAAAAACATTAGTGGAATATGGTAAACTGTTTATCAAGCTGAGCGATGGGTACCAGGGTGGTCATTATATAACTCTATGCACTCATTCCATGATTTTTAACCTTCCATAATAAATCAAATATTAAAGGGGGGAAAAAAAGAGTATTGCATCTGAAAGCAACGGAAACTTTCAAGGAATTTGCTTGCTATTACCACCACCAACAAATTGGGGACAGAGTGCCAGGAGAGATACATGGGTATTCTGGAAGGCTAACAGTATCACAGGATGCCACCATTTCACAGCATATTTATTCCCTGGTTCAACAATGGAGTAAAAGGCCCTCAGCAAAACAGATTGAATGAGAGGAAACCTTGGGGGAAGTGGCAGAATACAGCGACTTGAAAAGGCTTGGTTTTTCTCTAGCCAGTGCTGGAAGTTGACCATCAATTGTTTGTTTTCAGATAATTTCCACCGGCATTGCATGGTCTCTTCTGGTTATTGCGTGTCTCGTCTCAAGGTGTTTGAATTCTTCAATGGAAGGCAAATTCCTTAGTGACTCCTATAACCAGCTGTAAGTTTGAGTTGCCTTAAATAGTTGATCCCCAAGATACATAATATGCATATGCAAATATGCATTTTTGCCATCATCTGACTCTGTCACCCTGGACCAAAAGCTACAAGAGAGCTTGATTTTCTCTTCCCCAACTAACAAAACCAATCTGCCCCCGCCCCCCAAAAAATCAATAGAATCCACAGTTGATTTGAGTATTTATTTATAAATGTACATTTACTATAAAAGCTGTTGCATTTTAGACAATTTATTTTTTTACTATTTCTCAGAGGCATTTTAGAATAAATATTTTAAATGAAGGTTAGTGAAACTGATATAGAACATTGGCCCACCCAGCACAGTAACATCTTTTGGACGGACTCACATATGAGGTGGATCATTTCAATTTGTTAAGTCTTCTTACACTGTGTATAGATAACTATAATATGTATTGCATTAATAACACTACATAGAAAGAATGAGGAAATGTCATGAAAGTTTGCTAGTGAAAAACAGAGTTACCCATTTTTTTCTTAAGAAAGAGAAGGGACTAGCTTTTGGAATATGAGAAAAAAAATCAGATATACTTCCTCAGGAACAATAAATCACTCACTTGCCTCATATGTTTTTTAAGCAAACACATTTACATTGTAGCTCAACAGAGTAGAGCATTTTTTTTTTCCTGGGATCTCAAAGATTATTTGAAAAGAAATAGATCATACTCATTACGCTGCACTGGAAAAACAAGATCTAGTCTGCCCGAGCTGCCATGTAACAGACTCTAAATGAAATATAAATCAAATATAAATAGAAACAGTTGGCAATTAGAATTTAGAAAATGTTGGAGATTATTGTGCTGGTGACTATTGTTCATTATGGGAAAGCACATTTCGCAGTTGGAGAATGGGCTTTATTTTTTTTGACTCGATTCTAGCTTCAATACATGTACAATGAGTCTCACTAAGAAATATGTATAAATGGGTTTGTGAAACCAGAAGAGAATGTGCAATATTCATATAATCCTCACATAACGGATGGAGTTCCACATGTAAAAAGTATTCTATAAAAATCGGTTATGAATGATCATATTGTACATGTTTTGTGCATTATTTCTGGTAAAGTACTCTGCTAATATCATGCAAAGTGTAAACATCACATTATCAAAATATTTAATAAAACATGCAGGTGGTTAATCAAAATATTGAACTTAATCTGTACATTTTCAAAATGTTTTTCTTTTTAATTTTTTCTGTTTTTCTTTTTTTTAGTTTTTTTTTTTTCCCCCTGTAAAACAGAAAACAGCTCCATGAGAAGTCTTGGGAACTTGGAAGTGACTTCATCTCTCTTCAATGTACTGCATCCATAATTCATCACTGACTGTGTGCAACAGCTTCGCATCTTCTAAGGCACAATTTTTAATGAAATGATGTATAAATTCCAATCTAACAACAGCTCATCCAAATGACAAAATGGTCAAAATACCTCCAGTGGCTGAGGAAATTTCTGCACTTACATGGAACCCGCATGCAGAGAACCATCTAGCATGTAAATAAATAATTGCTAGCCATACTCAGGAAGACACAGAAAAAAAATTATTGCTTACATAACAGAAAAACATCTACTTGATCTCCTTTTATGACTACATTAACCTATTAGGAGGATATCCATAGTCTACATTCACAAAATGTCATCTTCACTTATTTGCCATCATTTTAAGGCAGAATAAATAGTTCCTCTCTCCCCAGTCTTAAAGAAAACAGCCTGGAGATGTAAAACGTGATTTTTTTTTTTTTTTTTTTAGTAACTTGAGTCCTCTCTTGGCCAGCTGAAATCATCACACAGGGCAAAAATTAACCAGCTCTCCACAGGAGTTCCTCTCTAAACACCTCCATGAGCAAGGTCCAGCATTCTTGGTAGGAAGAGAGTTGGCGGGCGATGCCAGAGAATGAAGGAGAGCAGATCTTCCGTTAGAGTGGGCAGGGCACATGTGACCTGTGGGTTCTTGCTGATTACACACCAGTGGCTTATCACATCCTGTGTCATTTAGATTCTATTAGGATGAACTGAATGCTTTTCTTTAGACACCTGTGCTTCAGGCCCTCAAGGAGAACTTGCAGGCAAGGGTGAGCAGAGGTCTCACCTCATGATGGACTTATCTTGATGACAGCTTCCATCTGCCTTATATTGAGTCTCTTATTGAATCTAGAGCCTGAAGAGAAGCAAGAAGCAAGCAACAAAGCCCTTACGGCCAGCAGTGACCAACCACTCTTCTGAAGATTAAACCTCCTCACAGATTTTGGTAATCACTTTGGAAATGATGACTTAAATATTTCCCTCTGGTTTCTTCCTACCCTTGGGCAATGTCAAAGAGTGTAAGTCTAGCTGATATTGCAAAGGTTCTCTTTATTTGATGGAAGAGCCTCTGTTAATGACATAACTTCCGAAGTACACAAAACCTAATACTAACGGTGCAATAATTTATTGGTATGACTTCTACCTCAAGAGGTAAGTAACACAAATATTTCAGGATTACAGTATATATTTATCAGACTAATGTCTTTGCATTAAAAAACAAGTTATAGCTCAGAGCTATATGATGTGATTTTTAGTTTCTGAAATGCATTAATTGTATGCTCCTGTCTTACAAGACCACATATCTCAATTGGCATGTCTTGCACTTTCTGCAGCTCAATTTTGTAAACATAAAGCGTTTAATTCCTAGAAATACTAAAACAAAACAGGTTTATTGAATCGTTTATCTTATTAACTCTCAAAGAAGAGAATGACACATTTTAAACCATAAGCCTATTTGACCATGCTAAGACCCTTTTTTGAACTATTCAGAATCATCACAATTCAATATTCTTTTGTATATACTGTGCAAATGCAAAAACAAAAAAAAACAAAAAAATACAGGAAAAACACAAACACTGTGCTACAAAAGAACAGATACCATCTTTTAGAATAGCCTTTCAGAAGTTAGATGAATGCCGAGGAGCCCCTGAACCTGGGATTCTGTTAAACAATTGCCAGGGGACACTGTTAATAAATGGTGAGTGACCTGGAAGGTTGAAAACCACGTCACAATGTTGTGGGTTGGCCAGCACCTGTGGTAAAGAAATCAGAGAACATTTTGTTGAAGTAGTCAACGCTTCTTGCTTCAGATGTTTAAACATTTCTGATATCAGCTATGACCTCTGCCAAAGTCTCTTCCCTCTGGGAAGGGACAATTGTGCCACCCTGCTACTCAGACTGTGATCCAAGGAGGAGAAGTATTGGTTCACCCAGAGCTCGTTAGAAATGCAGACTTTTGACCACCATCCCCAAGCTTCACAGGGAGCCCAAGTGATTCATATTCCCTGAAAAGTGTGGTGGGGAATCCTCTGGATTGAACCCTAAACCAAATAATCTTCATCAAGTTTTCTACCTTGTTTTCTGGGGGCAAATAAGCAAGAAAATAATCTCGCAGCCTTCAGTTTAGGTTTTGGTGTCTCTAATAAAGAAATACATTGCAACAGGAGAAATTTGACATATGCTCTCTAGAAATAGGATTGCTAGATTTAGCGATTAAAAATGCAGAACACCCAGTAAAATTTGAATTTCAGATAAACAACAAATAAAATTGTTAGCCTAAGTATATCCCATGTGATATTTGGAATATTGTTATGCTAAACCCCGAGTACGCAATATTTGAGACATACACATACAAAAAAATTCATTGTTTATCTGAAATTCAAACTTAGGCAAACAAAACAAAACAAAACACCATATAACTGGGCATCTTGTATTTATCTGGCAACCCTATCTAGGAAGGATGGTTTGGGTTCCATATTTCCTACTGAAACCTTCACAAATTTCCCCTTCATTTTAGGCACTAGAGTTGTGATGAGGCAATTGCAACATAGGAAAAGACCCTGGGGATTTTGCATTAAATGCATTTCACGCGAGTGAATGATAGAACAGACACAGAGACACAGTCATCCAACACCCAGGCACAAATGGCACAAGTTAAACATGTGACGGCTTGATTTGTGACAGGTAATTTGTTTTGCACTTCCATTCCCATTTACATACGAACTTAAAAACTGTTTACATTGCTTTTAGGAATTGCATTTTAATATGCTGTTATGCTATTTTTCCCCTCCAAGAGAAAATTTTCATTTAAATGTGACTAGTTACTTCAAGAAAATAGGATTATATATTCAGGTTTTATTATTCCACACAATGAAATTATTTGTTTCACTTAGAATTCCTATGATGTAAACCACCTCTCACATCTATCCATCTCCCCTCTTTTCAACTCAGATCAAAATCAAATAAAAAAAGAAAAATGATTTTTAGTCATTTCTTTCCATCCTGACTCTTTTATTGCATCTGAGGTATATTCAACCAATTCGAGTGCATTTATACTTCTCTAGCTCATTATTAACCCTGCCACCTATTCACACCTAAGGTATAATATATATTTTCTTATGAAACCAAGAAAGAAATAAGCAGTATTCTCATATTGCTGGTCATTCTCCCTGTCACATGTTGATTTAATTAAAGGTTAGCTTAAAATGATATTAACATTTATTTGGGAAAGTCAACATGAGAGAAGAGTTAGGAAAATTTGGAAAAAAATAATTGGAGTGAAGGTGGCCTTTATTACTCAATATTAAAACATACTGTGAAGCTATAGTAATTAGAACTGCTTGCTACTAGAGGGTAAATAGCTTAATAAAACATAAAATATCCAGAAATAGACTCAAATATATATGTGAAGTTAGTTTATGAGAAAGCTGGCATTTCAAATTAGTGAGGAAAAAGTGGATTATTCATTAAGTAATAGTCACAATTGGCTAATTGAAAAAAAAAAGCTGGAAATCTATCTCATTTCTTACTCCAAAATACATTCCTGATGTTACATATTTACATGTGAAAAAGAAAACAAAAACAATTTTAGGAGAAATCTCAGCTAAATTTATGGCCTTGGAGTAGATTGAGAGTTTTTCTAAGTAGGAAGCAAAACCCAGAATCCAAAAAAAAAAAAGAAAAAAAAAAAGATATGTTTAATTACCTAAAATGAAAATCTTTTCTATGAAAAAAAGTCACAAAGTAGAAAGATGAATAATAACTGCAACAAGCAGCAAACAGAAAATACAGGGAAAATTAATTTACAAAAAACTCATACAAGCCAAGAACAATGGGCAAATAATAAATACAAACTTTTTTTGAATGGACAAAGAAATACAATGCTGAATAAACATATCAAAAGATGTTCAAACTCACTTAAAAGTAAAAACCTACAGGGCAAAGCAATGAGGATTTTTTCTCCCCCACCTAGCAGAGTGGAAATTTTAAAAGTTTGATGATATTCAGAACTGACACAGGCATGGAGAGAAAGAGGCTCTCTTATACACTTTGCAGGAAGAGTTTATTGTCCTGGAAGATAATTAGGCAAGTTGTATGAAACTTTAAAAAGCAGATGCCTTTTCACTCAGCAGTCCCACTACTAACAGTCTACCCTGAGGAAATGCTTTCAAATGTCCAAAAGGACATATGAAAAAGGATGCTCATTGGAGCATTTAAAAAATAATATTAGAATACTAGAAACAACTGGAAATGCCTGTTCATGGAGAATTAGTTTTAAATTATGGTAAGTCTGTACAATGGGATTGTATGCAGCTATTAAAAAACAATTACAAAGAATGAGGAGAAAGAACATGTTATATGGAAAGAACGTGTTAGCGCAAAATTGCCAAGATATATCATTAAGTTAAAAACAATGGCAATGAAAACTAAGTACAGAACACTGTGACTATGTGATTACCTTTGTGAAATAAAACCCAGCACATATACAGGTAGATGCATCACGCACATATGTATCTGTGTGTGTGTGTGTGTGTGTGTGTGTGTGTGCATACGTGTGTGTGTACACATATACAAACATACATTCTGCCCCTCCCCAAGCAATTATTAGAAGGTGATTATAGTGCTTAACTTTGGAGATTCTTTACTTTTAATTTGGTATCTTTCTGAATCTGGACAATCCAACTTTTCTAACATTGTACCATTTATAACTTTTACTTACTTATGCTTTGAATATCTATAGAGGTTATCTAGGCAGAGAGATAATGAGACTGTTTTCTTTTTAGTATGTTAGTATTCTAAAAAAACCTCTAGTAAAATAGGGCATTGAAAATATAAAGAAAAATCCTATCTTTAGTCCACCTCCAAATCACTTCCTTATTTTTCATCTTATGAGACTGTTACAGGAACTCCATAGTTCTTGTATTTAGATTTGGAATTAAAAGCAGCGAATGCCCTTTAGGTCTGTATACATAGGAGAAAAACTCCTGGCCTAGCTCCGAAAGCCTAATTTCCAAAAGAAATGACAATGAATCAGCCGCTTCTCAATTAAAACAAAAATCTGGATGAAAACAGGTCACTGTCACCCAGAGGTAGGTTCACATTTGTTCTCTGCTGGCATCATTCAAGCACTTTAAATTATGAAAGAAATCCATATTTACAGCGCTTTTCAAATCTGGCTCAACTGTCCTTAACCTAACAGTGCCCTCTTCTGGTTTCATGATTCACACTCGGCTGGGCCACAGGCTGAGTGAAAGTGTAATTTATAGAAGATGACAGGAAAAATCACTTTGAAAACTGGAGAAAAGTTTCCTTTCTAATGTATAAAAACAAAACAAAAATCTATTTTAAATAATATTTATAATTATTATATATTATACAAGTATATATGTATTTGTGTATGCATGTACATATACTTATGGTGTGTGTGTATGTATATATATATATAGGTATACTATTTATACCACATTCTATATATTTAATACACAGTATAAAAATAAATATTAATATATATATTTATACCGTGTATATATAACATACATGGTATAAATATAATATATAATATACATGACATATAATATATAATATGTATTATGTGTATATTACATATGTATAATGTATATTATATAATACCTGGTGTAAATATATAATATAGAATATAGAAATATAAATACATAATATAAAAATAAAATACATAATATAAATAGTCCAGTTTGATGGTATCAGCTCTAAGTTGGAACTGCTTTGCCCTCAAGTCAAACGTTTATCATAGATCAAAATCACCTGAGTTTGATTACATTTTTATTTCTCATAATTTTATTAAGAATGCATATATTTCTCTGAATATACTAAATCTACACCTATAAGAGAACTTAATTTCAATTTTTACTCTTAAGTCTTTAGTCTTACAGATTTAGAGACTCATGTTAAAAATGCTGTAAAAATGTTACTTCATTTACTTTGAGAAATAATAAAACATTCTAGATTTCAAACTCCATCTCTTCATTTCCATTTTTTTAAAAAGAGAGTTTCTGAGTGACGCATTTACAGAAAACAGTTTCTTGCTGTCTAGGTGATCCAGAGGGACTATTATGAACTATTACGATGGAGAGTGAGGACGGATTCAGAGGCTCCTCACTGGCTGGTTTCAGTTTCTAGACAGAAGCTGGGCAACAGCACCCCCTGGTGCCCCCAAAACTAACATGAACCTTCTACGGTAGGAAACCCGGATACAAGATGGGAGGGTAGGCTGCTCAAGGGAGCTTGAAGGCAGCTTCAAGTTAGCACATACTCGTTAAGCTCTAATTATGTTCTAAGGTATTTTGGAGGGGGGCAGGGATTCACAAAGCAGCAGATCCAGCATTTGGTCTCTCAAGGAACTTTCAATTTAGTTGGGAACAACAGCATATTTTGTCAGGCAACTCCTGAATATAGTCCATGTAGGTACTGAGGAGCTGGTGTTTGATTTGACGAACAATGAAGAGCCATCTTCACACTTAAACCAGCCCCCAAATGGTGCTGGTCTTCTATTGTAAACACACGCCTCAGCAAACGAACAGTGTTTCGCAGACCTTGTATCTTCCTTCTATCTCACCAAAATCTCTACGGTGAGCTCAGACAGTGTCCCAAAATTGGTATCCAGTTCTTACCTGCTGGTATATTAATGTGCTTCTGGATGAAAAGAATTTGGCCACACGGAAGATGTAACTTCCAGTAAGAAACAAGTGGTAAATAAGGGGCTATTTCATTATTGCTTATTTTACCTAGATGCTAATATAATAACTCATTCCCTCAGGGTAGGAGTGTCGACTGATGGGGAGAAATAATTGAATTCCTAATTGGGTCTTATGAAAAGCATATGATTGCACTCACTCATCTCAAGGTATTTAACCCCAGTACTTACTTCGGGATCGCATGTAGCACTCATTACAGTTTAGAAGACCATTTCGAATCCTAACATCCGTCCCGCTCACTGCATCTCCAAGCTGTCCTTTACAAATCCCACACTATAGGGTACAAAGAACAGAAGTTATAAGGTGCATAAGGAATTGTTTCTCTAGCATGCTTAGTTGCTGTTTACATGGATAGCACAATAATCACTTCTACAACCTCCACATTTATTGAGCATCTACTAAGTGTTAGATGCTGCACGAAGAGTTGACTTATATCAACAATATACTTTTAGCATTTCATTCTAACTCCTTGCATTTTACAGACATGGACACTGGTTCAGAGAGGTTAGCTGACTTGTCCAAGGTTGTAAACCTAGTAAGTGGTGTCAGGTTAATTCCAAAGTTTATGCTGTTGACCTCTATCGTACACTGTTTCTCAATCAAGATGGAAGAACCATTTTAAACAGATTAAATCCTAGTGGTTTTAAATAACACACATGGCCAACAGATTATCAATTTAAACCTGTCTGTGAATAGTCTTTAAATGCTTTCCAGCATTGTTGGTGAGTTCTGCCAGATCAAAATTACTAAGAAATAGCTATTCACCTTACAGTTCCACGTTAAAGGCAGTGATACCCAGAGGAACATATCCTCTGAGAACGGAATTCCTTTCAGCTGAGTCAGACTGAGTGCAGAAGGAGACAGTGGGATATACGGTGCTAGTTGTACCAGAGAAGGTGCCATTAGGGGTTGGTTTGGATGCCAGCCTGTTGCCAGGAGATCAGGACTCACCCCAAGAGGAGAGGGCCAGCCCCAGACTCATGTTCTAAAGTCACCTGGGACAGAAAGGGGCTTCATCCGAATTATGTCACAAGTTGGATGTACATCGCAAAGGTAGGGGATAAACCTAACAGGTGATGTACCTTAAAGCATCAGTTCAGTTCCAGGAAGTAAGTGATGAGAAAGAATAAAGGCCTTGACAGTATAGAAAGCAAGTCTCCTATCCCTTGAGCATCTGCAAAGACTCTTTGCTATCTCGAGTGTTTTGAGTTCTGGTAATGTTTCTGAGAACAAACTATGGTGTGGGAACATATTATCTTGGCATTACCATGGAATTTTAAAAAGTATATTCCTTGCGCTTCAAAGCACTCCTAGACAGTTTAGGACATACATTATCTAGGTTAATTTTACAATAAGAATATTGACAAATTGAGTCTCATTAAATATCTATATTGTATTTTGCTTTCCAGTGGTTATTGATATTATTAAATTAATCATTTTGGGACAATTTCACTCACTTTTCCTTAGCTTATAGGTAACGTGGGATTTATTTTGAACCCATGCAAGTTTACTTTATAGTTGAGGAAGCTACCAACAAGAAATAGAATAAAATTTAAGACAGAAAAAGAAAGCATGACAGGGTTATGAAGAGAAAGAAATGACTTATTCAGACCTTCAGGGTTTGATTTCAAAACTTACATATTAATCTGAAACATGTCCATAAGTGAAAAAAAAGATGGGAAATACTGATATAGACCAACTTATACATTTTATAATAAATCAGGTATAACTGGTTAGCTCACCGACTTATTAGCAGGAGGTCTGGGACTAGACTCTAGGTCTCCACATTTTCAGTTTATTAATCCATTCATCTAAAAATATTTACTGACACCATCTCTGCTAGGTACAGAAGAAATAGTGGTGAGCCAGACAGACATGGTTCCTACCCTTATGGACTTGATAGTTTATTAGAGGAGATGATAACTAAACAATTCAATAGTGAGAGATAAGGTCCATGAAAGGTTTTACAAGGACTTGTAACAAAGGTGGGTGACTTAGTCTGGGTGAGCAGGGCAGCTTCTCAGAGGAAGTGATTTTCAGTTTGGGATTACAGACATATTCATTTGGAGACCTACAATTTTGCAACTAGCTATAACCACTTATTGACAGAAACTCTCCCATGAGGTAAAAGACTAAAAACCATCAACATTAAGTCACAAGCATTTGAGAAGCAGCAAAGATACTACATTCCAAATAAACCCACGTGCTCTAAAAGATTCGGAAGTACCATTGTCCTCCGAGGGTGGCATTCTCAGCTTCCTGGTAGACAGTCTTTAGCAACAAAAGCTATTTTATAAAGGCTCATTGAACAAACCTGTTTTGCTTCTTCTAACTCAGCATCCCAGAGGGATGCATGATAGCAAAGAGTTTCATCCTGAAGGATGGATTCCACACACACTTCTGTAGAACACAGAAGGGGTGGCCTCACAAGCAAAGGCCATCGGACGCCCAGGAGGTATTTCTCAGCACAGAACAATGCCAAAAGACGTCACAAACTTGTACTTAGAGAGAAGAGTGATGAACACACACCTTAAAGCACTGGATGTGAAAATAGAGATTGAGGGTCTCGATGATCATGGCAGCTCCTTTCCCCAGAGGAAGCCCACAGGAAGAGCACAGCTTCTTCCCACTTATAGACCTAGGTTCAAAAATATATACGATAATGAAATCTTCCATCTAGAATAGTTGGTTAAACCCACAAACATGTAGCTTCATGCAAAAAAATAAAAACATGGATTTTAAAAATGTTTATATCATGAGTGAAATCATTATTGAACTGATAATGAGCAGGAATTAAGCATTAGATATAATTTGCAAATGGCTGCCGGACTAAATACAATAATAGGCCTACACTGTCATATAGAATTTGCTGTGCATGTGTGTGTGTTTTAGTTATTTGTTACAAGAAGTTTGTGTTGTGGTCTATTCAACCATAGTGATCAAATACCTTGAAATAATTCAATATATTTAGCCTATGCTTTTAGAAGTCCTAAAAGATAATCATGTTTAACTTTACTAAGGTTTCAGTGTTGCTTGAAAATGTTCTATAATTGACTCATTGGCCTACTAGTGCATTTCTTTTTTCTTATTAAGAAAAAAAATTTTTTTGTTTGTTTAAAAAGAGAGAGGCAATTGTGATACAGCCCAGCAGGTCCCAGGCAGATGGATCTAATCCCTGCTCTGCCACCAAGTTCTGTGATCTGGTGTGAAGAATTCACTTTGGGTTTCCCCTTTACCTTTAAAATGAGAGAATTGGGCTAGATTATCTCTACTACCTCTTCCAGTGTAGTAAACACTGTGACTCTATAATCTGGGCACTTGACATCCTCTCTGAGCTGTAAGCCCCTTGAGGGCAAGGGCTGCATGTACCCCAACTCTGTATCTCTGCAGCCCCTAGCAAAGTGCCCACCAATAGACTAGAATCAAGCCCAGCAGACCGACACCAGGTGAGGCTATTAGATGGCTATCTTCTAAGCAGATTTCCCCACAACTGCTTAGAAGATCAGGTCAGATTGCACTGATCCCTATTGTCTGGAAAGCTTCGGAATTACACAAGAAATTTTAAGATATGCATTATCATTCAGAAGCCAGTGGGGAGCAGAGGGACAGAAGACACAGAAAGGAAGACAAGAGAAGAGAGGAAGAGTTGCCCTAAACAAACCCTCTTTATTAAGGTTTCCCTTGTATCCACTAGTTAAATGAAATATCTAAATCAAAGAAAATCTCTGAGCACTCGGTAACTGGTCTCTTCTATGAACGGGAACTCAGGCAGCTTTTAAGAATATCATGGGGCCCAATTAATGTCCAGAAGCAATCATCAGAGAGCTTGAGTAGGGTAAAAAGAAGGATGGAGTTTCGTTTCTCAGCTCCTGCCTGACTCTCTGTAAGAGCCATCAGCGGACCCTGCCTAGAAGGACCAAGCCATCTTGGAAGGAAAGGCGCCAACTTAGGAGCCCAGCAATTGTCTGGTGGATCTGATTATTAGATTGCAGGTTCCACACAATATAATTAAAGGCTTATGGCCACAGCCGCACCAACGTCACACTCTTGGCTTTTTCTATGGCTGGCTGCTGGTGGATGGGGAACATGTGTTTTTCCTCCTGCCTGTGCGCATAGAAAGAGACTTGGACGGACATCCCCTTCAAAATCATTTGGCAAGCACTAATTTGGTTAAAATTATGCTTGGCAGGCTCCAGTCAAATCAAAGCCGTCTCAGAAAGGCTTGCTGACCTCTTGTACCTGTTTGGTGACTGGCCAGGAGGGGTGGGAGGACAGAAGGACAAGTTCCCCGCCTGGAAGTTCTCTCGAGGGCTTTTCCTGTAACATGGTAAAGGAGCCAAAAATTATGACAAGTAAAGAGAAGCCCACTCCTACAAGAAAAAACATTTTAGAAAAGAAAATTAAGAATTTCCTTGATAACAAAATAAAAGACGACAGAGTGCCCTAGTGGTAATTTTTTATAAAGGACAAAAATAGTAATTCTGTCTAGAAGAGATTATACATGCATTTTCTGCATAATATCACACTCAGGCTGGCATGGTTCAACATAAAAGGCAGAATGTTTTCCTAATTTCTATTATTGCCAGGTTCTTCGCTGAGTTAAAATTGCATGCTGAGTTAGATATAAAAATTATGGACTGGGTGGGAGGGCAGAGATGAGTCGGGATATAGGGAAAAGCTTTTAAAAAAAGCCCAGAAATAAAGGGCAGGGCTGAAAGGATGTATTTTTCGGTGAAGTAGCTTCTACCCCTATCAATAAATTCATTTTGGAAACATGTGATCAGGGGTGATATTCCCAACATTTAATAACCACTATGTCGTAGGCATCTACAAAGCAGATGGTCCCCAGCCAGAAGCTACCAGAATGGTTTTACAGGTGCTGTTGGTTGCACAAGCTATGCCTGTGATTAAGCTGTCAGTTCTGGGCTCTTGCTTATGAAAGTTAATTTCATTTGTAATGAAAGGGATAGAACACAGAAAAGAAAGATAAGAGAAATGCCAACACAGAAGAGAACACAGCATAAGTCCATCTAACTGCTTTCAGAATAACTCCCCGAGCCCCCTGCTCATCCAAACTTCTACTCAGGCAGAGCATGTCTTCTCCAAAACATCATGTGTTCATTCATATAATACTCTAAAGTATAAGTACCAGTGCCTAAAATAAAAGGTTGAAAATCACTGTAATAATCAATAATAATAATGACTACTTCTATGTGATTTTAGCTTCTATTGATTCTGAGTGTTATCTAGACATACAGAAATGAAATTGTACAGACATAAGAGAAAAGGAAGAAATAATTCAAACACTGTATTTTAAAAAAATGCAAGAGAAAAATAAGGCAAAAAGTGAACTTATAAAACAAGTTATCATCATCAGGACTCCATCATCATCACTGTGACCACCACTGCTATATAATATAGAACGCATTATTTGCCAGGGACAAAACTCTATGAGGTAGGTATTATTATTATTCTCATTTTCTACATGGGGAAACTGAGGCACAGAAAGATTAATCAAGTTGCTCAAAGCCCTATGCAGGCCAGTGGCAGAGTCAAAATTTGAATCCATATGGTCTGGCTCCATGTAGAATGATTGGTTAAAGTATAATGCATATTGTATTTTAAAAACTGATTACAAGGATTCTCTGGTTCAAATATGACCTTATCATGGGACTATGGGTTCATTTTGAATTCCTCTACCACTTAATCTGTTCAAGTACTTATTATTTAATTTCCCCAAGCGTCAATTTCTTCATCTGTAAAACGGGAACAACAATCCAATTAAAGTTATTGGGAGAGTTCAGTGAGTTAAAGTCTGAAAAGAAGAGAAGAGATATGTAAACCCTTCAACACAGTGCCTATTATATTGAAATGCTTCAAAAATGTTAGGAAATATTATTGTAAAAAATATAAATCTTACCAAATTACAATATAGCCTAGGGTTGCTACTTTAAGGGAGAGAATGATAATGAGAGAAAAACAGTTTTTTCCTTGAAAGGATATTTGTCAGTAGGCTCTGACACAATTTAACTCACTTAAATAAACTATTAATACAACACGCCTGCAAATTCTTTCCAATGTTTAGATCTGTGCATTAAAAACATTACTTTGCCTCTTTCAAATTGATAAATTCAGAGTGAATATTTACTTCCCAGGAAGATTGTCCCAGATTTGTTACCTTGTCAATCAATGAGATTCAATGGAGAGAAAGCACAAAAATGCTGCTAACATCATGTCATCTCACACTTTTTCATTTCTCCCCTTCCTAGTCAATAAATTTAAAACAAAAAAAAGGAATTCCATATCCATCTTCATTGGTTACTCACTTCCGTCTTTCACTCGGAGACTCAATCTGATGGTTAATGGTTTTATCCAATGGGAGGGATTTTGGCTTCACATCTTCTACAATGCTCATTGTTGGGTTGGATACCTGCTGATTCCGGGATGGATCTGAGGCCAAATAAAGAACATAAACTTAGTGCTCAGTAATGTCACTTTATTTTTTATTATTTTATTTTATTTTTTACACTGAGCCATCTGGCTGCCCGTCGGCAGCTTGCAGCTGCTCAGCTCAAGGTGCTGTGTTCAATCTTAGTTGGGGGGGCGGGGCACACAGCCCACCATCCCATATGGGTCTTGAACCAGCAACCTTGCTGCTAAGAGCACAGGCTCTCACCAGCTCAGCGGCAGCTCAGATCAGGCACAGCTCACTGGCCCATGTGGGAATCAATCGGTGATCCTGTTGATCAAAGCTCGTGCTCTTAACCAACTGAGCCACTCAGCCGACCCAGTAATGCCACTTTAATGCTTAGTAAGTCACCTTTCTTTCATGTGCTAATGTCTTTTGAGGTCTCCAGGTGATTTCATGGAGACTCTGAGCACCTGGCGGTAGGAGTTTATTCACTGTGCTGTTTAGCACAAACTACAAGAGAAGCTTGCAGCCAGCAGAGGTCATATCTGCTCCAGACAAGGAGGGGAGGTGCCTCACAGTAATTTAAACATTGGGGTTGGTCTTCTCCATCCTTACCCTGAACTAGCTGTGGGTTCATCCCACCCTGTGGGGCCCCAGCTTCGGTATCCAGCTGATCATCTTGATGGGTTCCTTTTGATACAGGGTTCTCAGAATCAGTCAAGGCCCCAGGAGTTAGGCTGTTTAAACAAACAAACAAACAAACAAACAAACAAACAAACAAACAAACAAATAAATAAATTTCAGAACAGAGATAAAAGCAACTGAACTAAAGTTATTGATTTTATCGCTTAGGGTACAGAAGTACTCATTTCAAGATGAAAAAGTAAATGGGGCTAACTAAACATTTATTTATTCATTTTATTTTAAACTAGATTTAAAATGGATTTAAAATACTCTAAAACGCTACTCGTTTTTATTATCCATCAATTTAACGAGCTTGAGACACCACCATTTCTGATGTCCTCCCCACCTCCCTATCCACAAGCAATTCAGTCTAATAAATTCAAGGGATTTCAGAGCTAACTGGACTCTCCCAGATTTTCACAAGAGAGGACTTAATTGTAGAAATTATTTGGGCCACACGGGACTTGGCAGCCCATGGTAATCCACTGGCCTTTCAGTAGCTTCTGCATGCAAAGTATGGAGAGATGGAAGAGGTTTTTAAAGGTTTCTGGTGACAAGAGGGACTGTCTAGAAAATTAGCAAAAATTCACATAAAATGCTTATTGGTGGTATTCAAATATTCCTGATGAATGGTTGTCACTTCATACAACTGGAAAGTCCTTTTAAACAGTGTCAACTGGAAACAGATGTGCTGGCCTAAGGGCTCTGCAGACTCTGGACATGGGTGCTGAGCTCCTGTATCCTACAGCTCACCCCGTCATCCAGCTGATGAGCAGAGGATTCTCGGAGCTAATCCCACCAGAAGAGCTCAGCTCTCAGTCAACCTTTCAAATTGACCAGTCTTTGAAAATGACACTTAGATAGCCTTTTGTGTCTTCAGGTCCCTCTGAGAGAGAGAGGTCTCTCTGTGTGTGTGTGTGTGTGTGTGTGTGTGTACACATGCACAGCCTGGTCCAGCATGCGCTTATCAATATTGGTCAGGTATCTCAGAGCCCCAGAGGCAAACATCTGTCTTCTGAAGAGCTTGCTGCAGGCAGAGCACTGCTAGCCTCCTGGGTTTCTGCAGGTTCCTTCTAGGTTAAGTGTGGAGTGGCATCAATAAACCCAGTGCAGCCCATAGCTACAACCATCTGATCATCTCCCATCTGATCTAGCTCTGAATGCTGATTTCTGGGTGCCGTGTTCTGATCTCTCATGGAACATACTGGAACCCATGGGTGGGGTGATTACCCACAACCAATTGTGTTTTGGTTGTGCTTTATATTATCACCCAGAGTAACTGTGGCTTCTCACAGCTCAGAGGATACTAATAGCAAAGTTCAGGGCCACAGTAAAACCATAGTTGGTAGGACCTCAGGGCATCATTTCAACCTCTGTCCCTCCGGACACATTAACCATTTCAGATGAGTGATATTTAAGTTTGGGGCTTTGAATTGACAACATGCTCCTTTAATGATAAATTCTGTCTCCCTTTATTTAAAAAAAAAGGTTTTGCCTATTTAAAAATAAGGCTATTTCTATTCAATAGCATAAGGATGCTGACTTCAGAGTTATTAGAATGTGTTTGAGCAGTATGTAATGTATTACTGGAATGATCATTTCAAAGCCGAATATGATTTGCATTAGCAATGAGTACCCTTCCTGGGAGTGAGCAGGCAGAGCCTGGTTTGGCGCATTTAGACAGACAGCCTGGTGTGGTTCCTACCTGCCCTTTTCCTCCAGTCGATCACTTTCCCTAGTCTTAACCAATAAGTCATTGTTGTCCCCCTGGAATGGTGTCTTCTGTCTTGTCTCTTGTTCTTTTCGACAGTTTTCCAGGTCCATCTTATTCTAAGGAGGGAAAACAAGGAAGACCTTGAATATAATTTTAAACACACTGGACAACACTCATCTCTGGCTATGGGATATTTGAAGCTTTTTTTCAATCACATCACCTAGAATTTAAAGAACAGTTGTCCAGATTAACTGAATAGTAACTGAGTTCCAAAGATCTGAAATAAACGTGCAAGCTACATCTCTCTCAAAATTTATCATAAAAGGGAATTGGTTGGAAAACCCACCTTTCAAAATTAAACAGTCATAGGACTGCTCATTTCAGGACAAATGGCTTTCTAGTGCCCACTAGCTATTTTTTTATTTTTATTTTTTTTAAAGATTTTTATTGGGGAATTGGGGGGTGGGAACAGTGCTGGGAAATTGGGAGAAGGGGAACAGACAAGTTGCTGTCGTT